TACTGTAAACCGCTGAACGTGAGCGATGCATGCTGATAGGACGGGCAGATACGGAGTGGAAAAACACACGATATGCAGAATTTTCAGTTATTAGGAATGATAAATGGTACACGCTGCGAGAAGGTGTTCAGAGCAGGTTATTATTCAAACACATCAGAGCATGAGCATGAAAACTGTAACCAGGTCTCTCCTGTGAGGGCTTTCTGCATCCGGGGACAATTTGGATTTAAGGGCAGCAACCTATTTTTATTATAACTACCAATTTATGTGCAATTATTCAGTCTTTTATCGTTTTTTCTAAATAATTTTCTTACGTTTTAGTAGGTTTTAAGTATGAATACTAAATCCATTTTATTTTTAAAGCACATTTCATTACAGGGAAGCTCAATGTGTTTTACACTGTGTTTTATTTTTTTTCCACAGTCATGAATAAGATACAGAAATCAAATTAATAAAGTCATACACGCCGCAAAACAAACATCAAGAACCAAACAAATCATACAAACAAACACACCAAGTAACTATCAGTATGCTTGGGAGAATATTAGTTTTGAGTTCTGCTTTAAAATTAGAGACAGTAGTGATGGACCTCAGCTCAACAGGAAGTTAGTTTTTCAAAGAGAAGGACCACAGTGAGGCTCAAACTGGGATTTTCTTTTAAAAACAAGTTGTTTTTCTTTTAAAGTTAAATCAGCGTCCTGTCGCTGCAGAATGATTAAAACTCAAGGAGCTGGAGTCCTTAAATGTTTTCTAATGAAAAAATGAAAGACCAGGAAGCAGATTCTACAGGATGTCGATGCTTTTAGCTCGACTGCTTGAACTGCTGACTCCCAGATTTCATAGATGGTTCTCTCTTTTATTGCAACTTTTAGTGTTTTTGTAAAATACTTTGTCTCTCTTTATGTTTCTGTCTGTGACTTTACCTGGTTAAATAAAGGTTAACCGCCCCCTCTCCGGACTTTAATAATAATTAGTTCAAATGTAATAAATTTAAAGAAAAGAAAAAAGGCAGTTGAAACAGAAGCTAACATATAAAAACAGTTGTATAAATATTAAACAGTGTCAAAATTACAGTGCAGGGTTATAGTCTGAAAACTTATTAAAATAAATGTATTAAAATTGTTTAATGAAAGGTTCAATACATACATATATATCTGCTGCACAATGACATAAAAATGAACTACCTGTTTGTGAATAACATTAATTATGTTAAATAAAAATGCTCTTCCAGTAAATTAAATGAAATTAAAATGTTCCTTTCTTGCGTAACAAATACACCCAGCTGTGTGTAGCAGCTGTTTAGTAACGCAGGGTTTTTTAATTTTGACTCAGCGAGGTGGAGCAGGGTGACGAGGGACCGACAGTGAGAGGAGAAATAAAACGTACAATGTTACTTTAACACTACATGAACTTTATTTCTATAAAAGGATATCGTCTTTTATCTTTTTTTTTTTAACCAGGAAAATATTCCTTTAAGATACATGATCTCTTTTAAAGAGAGTCCTGGAGACAGCAGCATCAACATCTCAGACTGAGAACAAAGACAGACAATAAACAAATATTACATCCATCAACGCATCAGAAGCATCAAGCAGAGGAACATGTGCACACAGTCGTCAAATGATACTTCATCCTGCTTTTCAAACCTTCCAGGACAACTAAACGCTCTAGTTTCAGGTGACTCTGTCTTACTCCATACCTCATTTCAAAATATATTTATAAATCTTAAAACTGGATCTAGTTTAGATTGGATTGGAAAATCTTTCTCGTCACTGAGGGGCAATTTGGTTTGCAACAGAGGTCCATACAGGCAACACACATTATAACATGCAATCATCATGATGGGCATGAGTGAGAAAACAAAGACCAACAGTCCAGAGTATGTGTACAGGCAACAAACAATGCCTCCAGCCTTTTTAAAAACCCAACTGCTGCAGGAACACATGACCTCAGATATCTGTTTGATCTGGCCCTCCTCACACGAGTGAAGTCTAAACTCTGCATGCAGACGGTGCTGAGGGTCTTCCAGGACGGCTTTTGCCTTCTGACTGGCCAAGATCTTTCAAGTCCTCGCTAACAATCTTCCGGCAAAAGGTGTCACAACACTGCCAACAATTCAAATTAGATTTGATGCAAAGCAGCATCCTGTGATCGATACATGTGACATCAGGCGCCTGATCAAAACAACCATCTACACTCATATGAACTCCCCTAAAACAGCGAGCATGTGATGTGTAATTTAATACAGGATAGCTGAAGAGAGACAGGAAATGTTGGGAGGAGAGAGTGAGGGATGATATGCAGCAAAGGGTCGAGGTCGGATTTGAACCCACGGCCTTTGCTGTGAGGGCTATAGCCTCTGTACACGGGGCCACTAAGCTACCCGCCACCCCTTTGACTTGCAATCTGGAGTTTTAATCCTCCATAAACACTTTGTTACAGTACTGGACAGAAACATTTGTCTTTTTGTGTGGTCCGCAGTTACAAAGTACACAATACAACAAACTGACATTTAAATGAGGATTGAGGATTATAAGGCCAGTCGATAAGGACGAGGGTTGTCGGTATATATTGATGATTTTGAACCACTGATCTTCTATTCCATTCATTGGTTAATAAAAATGTATTTTACTTTCAACAGAATAAATAGACGCCCAAAAGTATCAGCGGTCTTTTTATATCACAATGTCATAGTTCAACTCAACGTTTCAAAAGCATTAATACTAGACTTGAATGATCAGTTAAACTTCACCTTATTATTATTGTTATTACTACATAGAGAATACAGCATCACTCCAAGTGATGATCACACAGACTGATTGTACGCCGTCAATAATCATAATGTGGCTGACAGCCAGTGAAGGATCCACAGAGAACAAACAGCAGCAGATTAAACTGATTCATATGAAATGTCTGAGAGCTCACTCACCTGTGTGTCTCTGCTCCGTCCCCTCAGAGAGAAATAAGTTATTTTTAAACTAGTCTCTGGGTTTTACTGGCATGACCGTGCTGTGGCTTTACTTGGGGATTCATAAGTGCCCTGTCAGCTAGTTTGGCCGGCTTACAGTTAGTGACAGAGTGCGCTGACACACAGCTCTGTGTGTGTGTGTGTGTGTGTGTGTGTGTGTGTGTGTGTGTGTGAGAAAGCCCTTCAGTGTGTGTGAGAGAGACTCTATTCCACAAAGGGCTCATAGTCTGTTGACCACAAACAATGAAACGTCACATTTTTTTGGCCTCAGATAAACTCTTAAAAAAAAAAGGTTAATTTATGTTTTCAGGATTTGTTTTTTTTAGGAGAGTTAAAACAAGTAATTTGCTGGCATAAACAAAAGTGAAAGGGTTAATGTTGACATGAGAGCAAACAAAATCAAAGAAAGTAGATTTGACTGTTTGAAAGTTACTTTAAAAAGACTACTTCTTAAAACAGCAGATCTTTCTCCTCGCTTACCAGAAATCCACTGTCACAGTCCTGTCAGAGGGTGTGGGTGAGCTGTGTCAGAGGAACACTTCATGACAAACATGTTTCTCACAACTAAGCAACCAAACAGGAAGAGACCAAGAAAAACAACAGCAGGAAAGAAGAGCTGCTGGCCTCATGCAGGGCTGCTTGATAAAGCACACTGACATCTGCTGGCCCAACCAGGAACAACTGCGTGACCCTGCATTTTCACCTCAGGAACTGTGGGACTTTAAGAGGATCTCAGTGCATGTTCCACTACAGGGAAATGGAGTCAATTCCCCAAAAGGGTCCCTAATTTTGGAGTTTAAAAGGTATAGGGAGTTTGGGCCCTTCCAGCAGTGAACATTTGCACTCACTTGACTCTAGCTGCCACAGTTGCAATCATTGGTATTATCTATATTATCATTTTGCCATTATTAGAAACATAACCAGTGGCGTCTGGTGCATTTTCTTCCAGGGGTGGACGCGATTGCTCATGTATGGACTGGGAAGGACTGTGGCGACACTGCACACCCTTATATTTATGACTATATGTTCACACTGTACTGTATGTTTGGATTTATTTCTCAGATCAAATTTTTTTTGTCTGTTTTTAAATATTTATTTTGGGGCTTTTTGTGCGTTTAATGTAGAGATAGGACAGTGAATAAAGCTGGAAATCAGGGAGAGAGAGAGAGAGAGAGAGTGGGGAATGACATGCGGGAAAGGAGCCACAGGTGGGATTCGAACATGGGCCGCCCGCCTGGAGGACCACAGCCTCCATACATGGGGCGCGCGCACCAACCACTGCGCCACCAGTGCCCCTTTTTTGTCTGTTTTGTCCGTTCACATTTTTACACTCTCCCGAGCTGACCCACATTCGTAAAAGAACAACAACAAAGATGTCACACGCAGCAGAGCGTCTCTCCTCTATCCCTCTTTGATGGTTCAGAAACTCACTACAGATGGCTGTCAACCTGTGAGTCAGGTCCCGCTCGAGGTTTCTGCCTGTTAAGAGGAAGTTTTTCTGTCCCGCTGTTGCCAAGTACTTCCTTACTGATTGTTTATTTCTGGGCAGCTCCAAATCATAAAACAAAGAGTACGGTCAAGATCTGCTCTTTCTTGAATGTGTCATGAGATAGTTTGGTTATGATCTGGTGATATACAAATAGACGCTTATTGATCCACTGATTGTTTGGTAGAAAACAGGTGTAGCTTTTTCTTACTTCACTAACTTACCTCATCTGAGCGGGCCCTCGATGGAAACGTAGACAACAAGGAAGAACCTTCCAGAGGAACCTTTTAATCCCATGAAAAGAAGCTGCTTGGTTTTGGTGAAAACACAGGAAATTTGCTGATCAAACCTTTGTATTTAGTAGCCTGTTATGTTGTTGTTAAGAAAGTTGAGTCAGAAAAAGTTAGGCTGTGAGTCTGAGCCAAGATTCACCACCTGTTCATGACATTCAGAGACAGCTTGCAGCCAAAGCAAAGGCAACAGACAGCAGCGTGATTAATTTTTAAGGGAATAAATGTCGTCGTTTTTCTGCCTGGCAACTTTCAAATGACAGACAGAAAACCAATCCAACGGGCCGGCTGTGAAGTAAGCTGTGATAAGGAAGACACTGAGCAGAGAAATGTCGGTGACACAGATCCAGGAGAGGAGGAGAAGTCCATGTGTGCGACAGGCAATTCAAAAGTGAAGATCCCGTCTCTGCAGGAGCTAGAGGAGGTTTTACATTCAGCTCCACGCTCCTGCAGACACGGAGATGAGGTTTGGCCAAACCTGTATCTGGGAGACATGTGAGTATCCTGTGCCTTCTTCATGTGTGTGTCTAAGACTCATGAATAATATATTGTTGTTTGTGTCAGGTTCATGTCTCACGATAAACTGGGGCTTTGGCAGCTGGGTGTCACTCATGTGCTGAATGCAGCACACGGGAAACTGTGCTGTAAAGGCAGCGACGATTTTTATGGAACCACCGTGAAATACTGCGGCGTCCCCGCCAACGACCTGCCAACATTCGATATTTCACCATTTTTCTATCCTGCTGCTGAGTTCATTCACCAGGCTTTGACGTCAGGAGGTAACGTCAGCTGCCACACAATATAAATAAACAAAAAAAAAAAACACTGACTGTGTATAAAGATGAACAGCGCATCACCACCTCCTCGGTTTGCAAAAGGTGAAGTCAAAACACCCTCTGTTACTGACATATTGACATATTTGGAGCCATAGTCTATTGAAAATGTGTAGATGACCTATACAGCAGCCAGTCAGTAGGGGGAGCTCTATATTATTTTGGCTTCACTGGGCTGTTATGTTGTCCATCTTTTTTATACAGTCTAGCATAGATTCTCACTTTATTTTGATACTCTTTGTTGTGATTTCCAGGAAAGGTGTTTGTGCACTGTGCTGTAGGTGTGAGTCGCTCGGCTGCGTTGGTCCTTGCGTATCTGATGATTCATCACAACCTCAGTCTTCTGTCATCTGCACGCTGCGTGCTACAGAAACGCTGGATTTTCCCAAACAGAGGCTTCCTGCGACAATTGATAGCTCTGGACCGAGAACTGCAGGATGCAAGGCAGAATGAGCTGAAGTAAAACAACCTGAAGAACGAGTTTTGTTATTAACATATAGGCCATGTTTCCACCAAAAATACCAGGAACTTTTAGTTAGAGGATCTTCTTTTTAGGAACTAAAAGATTCCCTCAGCACAGAGTGTTACCACTGAAGACTAAAGACCTGTGAGGATGAGGAGAAGAGCCTGCTGATGTGTGAAAGATGCACCTGTTTTATAGTGATATACACAGGCTAGATCCATGCCAATTATTTGTATTATTATTTATTATGTTTTAGAATCATCGCTGCAGAACTGTGTTTTTGTAATTCATTTTTTTGTCTTTTTTTGTCTTTTATTAAATAGGACAGAGGAAATGTTGGGAGGAGAGAGTGTGGATGATATGTAGCAAAGGGGTGAGGTTGGGATCGAACCCACGGCTGCTGCAATGAGGACTATAGCCTCTATTCATGGGGCGCGCAACATAACTGCTCGGCTATCAGCACCAAGCTATGAAATCCCCTAAATACATCATGAAGACTTATTCTTATCTTATTCTAATGTTTCCCTTATTATACACTAAGTTTATTTACATTCTCATTTCCAATAAATGTAATATCTATTAAAGAAGCGATAAGTGTCTTTGTACATCAACAGAAATATATGCCACTTAATGTTTCTGCTCTTGTTTCGGCTTATCAACTAAATTGTATACCTGATTCTGTGTATTATGTTTTAAGGTATTTTAGTGCTAGGCTTTTTGATGAACACAGGGAACTAGAATAAGTCGGACATAGTGTCCTGCATCCTGCTCAAAAATTAAACATTCATATTAACAACATAATGTGTTGCAAGAACAGCTTCTTCAAACACATTTTGTTTGTTTTGTGCTCTTGTTCCAGATAATGATGGCCTGTGACTGTAATGCACTCAAATGAAATAAGTTCACTGCCCAGATGATTTTCTTAATGTTGAATGCAAGGCCCAAACTCAGTGCCCCTGTTCTTTTATAAAGCACCATCCCAAAGGAACCTTTTGGGGCATGCAAAGAAGTCCTCAGTACTTAATTTAGATTTGTTCCCTGCAGTGGAACACACTGTGTACCTCCGAGGCTCCCTTGTTCCTGCTATGGAAACACATAACAGCTTTAGATTTGTTCTCCCTTGGTATGCAGAAAGTCATTATCACCATTTAACACCACGCAAGACGTTCTCTGTTTGTACCATTTGACTGTTTGTATACAGTTGAACTGTGTCCATCCCTGCCCTCCCCTCTCCTCGCCTATTGTGACCTCATTGGGTACAGACAGAGTCCCTCTCTTTTACCCCTCAGGACCTTTGTCATCAGCCAACAGACCAATCAATGCACAGTGACATTAAATAACTCCACATGCAGTCACAGAGCACTCACTGAACACAGAGAGCTAATTTTGGAGCCGTGCAGCATTCAGACAAACCACCTGCCCCCGTCTCTCACTGCTGCAGACTGCTGGTGGTGTGGAGACGTTGGACACGGGACAGGCAGGAGCAGAGTGCTGGGGGTCTGTCGGAGGAGCACTGGGAGAATGTCAGGGAGCAAGCAGCTACTGAACCTGCCTCTCATTAAAGAACTAGAGCTCATCTTGGATTCCTGCACACTAGAGCTCACACCAGTGGATGAAGTCTGGCCCAACCTGTACATAGGAAATGTGTGAGTTTTTCATGTTTGCTGCGAGGAAAACTTTCACTTTCAACTTAATAAATTGAACACTAAGTTATTGTAAATAACTTGTGTATGTGCATCCCAATGCTTTATTTCATTCTTCTGACGTGGTGTGTTTGTGTGTTTCAGGGCCGTTGCACAGAATAGAAAGACATTACAAAAGCTTGGCATCACTCATGTCCTGAACGCAGCACACTCCAAACAGGGCAGCATCGGCGACCAGAGTTTTTACGGGAACACCTGTATTTACCTTGGCATCCCGGCAGAGGATTCAGATCACTTTGACCTCAGTCAGTACTTCAAACTTGCAGCTGACTTTATACACAAAGCGCTGAGGAGCAAAGACGGTATAGTATTTAAATATTTAGACACCAGTATTTAAAGACACCCATTCAGCATATTTACACAGCGGCCAATTTTCTATGATGTCAGACTTTGGGTGGGAAGCTCAAATAATGTTTTAGAGTTGTACTGCTGTGTTTTACGGTTGTATTGACATGGCAAATCTGACATCATAATTTACTTAGTTGTTGTTCAGGAAGCGAAAATGTATGGTTCTGGCCGATTTAACAACTTTTTGTATTTAGTTTGGGCAAATATTAGAAATAAAAGGACTTAAGGACTAAAAGGACATCACGATATAACCTCACAAACCAAAAAAAATAGACGAGAATAGATTAAATATAATAGGACCCCTTTAGTAATTGTTTGATCTTTCCACACTAAGCATGATGTCAGAGGGGGAAAAAACACATGTTGTCATGTCCCATCCAATGTTGATATTTTTTTGGTTTCACATTTGCAACGCTTTCTCTCTCCATCTTGCTCTACAGGTAAAGTGCTCGTGCATTGCATCATGGGTGTGAGTCGATCAGCCACTCTGGTCCTGGTATTCTTGATGCTTCGACAGCGTCTCCCTCTAAGAGACGCTCTGAGGCAAATCGTCCAAAAACGAGCCATTTACCCAAACCGGAACTTTCTGTCTCTCCTCCTCAAGCTGGATGAACAGCTGACTCTCAAACGGAGGTTGTGTCCTCTTCTCTGACGTCTGCGTTCACCTCCTCCAAGCTCCATCGTTATTATTTTATCACCTCATGAACTCTCTTTTCGATGGATTACACTCCTCTTATATAGCGTAGACAATATCTTGAAATGTGTGAAATGTAGTTGGTTTATTTTGATGGTGTTGAAATGAACTTTAATTCCATATTTGCAATTTGAATACGGTGTACAGTGGCAATAGTTATGTCAAATATTGTAAATAGTTTAGCACTGTCTCATATTTCTTTGATGTTGTTTTTCATTTTCAATCTGTATAAAAATGCTAACTTGTTATAGTAAGCCATGTTCAAAACCTTTGCATACAAACTTGTTGTAAAAAAAGATACTGATGTTATTTCATCAAAAACCAGCAAAAAAAAATTTAACAGCTTGGTTAAAACATACTGTCATTGGTTTATACTCTCAAAACAGTTAAAGGTCACACATTATCTTTCTTTTCAACCAGTTTAAAGAAGTCTCAGAGCTCCCCAAAACATGTCTGTGAAGTTTCTTGTTCTAAATCCACTCTGATCCTGTATTTGATCATGTCTATAAACTCCTCTATTTCAGCCCTGCTCAGAACAGGCTGTTTCTGTGTCTGTACCTTTAAATGTAAATGAGTTGTGTGTGACCACGCCCCCTCTCTGGAAGAGCTTGAGTGGCTTGGTATTTCTCGCTCCATGTCCTATTGTTTACGGTGAGAAGGCAGACTCAGAGGGCAGAACAAACACCTAGCTGTGGGAGTGTCACCCACCTGGGGGAGGGGTTACTGCCCTTTGTGATGTCATGAAGGGAAAATGTCCAAACGGGCTGTTTGAGCACACATTTTCTGAAAAGTGGAGCAGGTAAAAATTGGATAGGATGGACTTTTTTTTTTTAATAATTGGGGGGTTTGTAGACGAACGAGGGACACATAATAGTATCTGAAAAACTTAGTAAAGCGTATTTTGCAAAATATGTGACCTTTAAGCTATTTTCTATTTTTTGTAACTCTTACAAAACTCATACATTTCTAATAAAAAAGCTGGGCATTATGTCTTTACTAAACTAAACTATTACCTGACCCAGTCCAACACAAAACGAGTGACTAAGAAAACCAAAGACAAAAAGTTATTTTCAGAACATTTAACTATTATAGAGTCACAGTTTTGCTCCTCTTCCTTCACTCAGCACTTTTCCACTCACCCTGCCTCGACTCCACTCTGTCTGCCACCCATCACCACCTCATCCGCCAACTCAACTTACCTTTACACAGCTGCCTCTCAGCTGCAATCAAGTCAATTTAAAAGCCTCTCCGGTTCGCTCAGACACTGCCAAATTGTTCTTTTGCTTTCATGCTAGACTTTCTAGCATTCACTCTTGGATTGATTACCTGACACGACTCTGCCTGTCTCTGATCACTGAACCTCGTAGCTCTACTGGTAATTGCTTCAGCCTTTTATCCCTGACCTTGAGTTCTGCCTTTGTGTCCTTGGATCCTGTCTTCTCCTCGCCTTGGCTGCTTGATGGACAACACCTATCCAACAGTGTGAGTTTAATTGTGCTCCCCTGTGGATCTCTGTTGTTCAGTGACTCCTTCTGTTGTTACATACCTGCTAGCATTTTCACCCTCTGCCTGATTCTGATCCGTCTTCAGCCTACCCCCTGTTGGATTGATTGTTATTACGGACTGCTTTTCTGCTGCTGGACCAGATCACAGCAGCCAGCGCTCCTTGACAATTTCAAAGACTATAACGGCTTTGAGCCTTAAGACTGAACTGTGCTGATATTTACCTGTGTTACTCTGTATTAGTCAAGAACATAAGTGAAGAGCTTTACCCGCAAGTCTTGTGTTTTTGTGTGCTGCATTTGGGTTTATTTACATTTAGACAGACCATGAAATTCACAGTGGTGAGCTGAAATGAATCAAAGCTGCTACCTGATGGCTGACTAAGCTTTTTTTAAGGAGTGCTGTCCTCTGATTGGTTAATTGGCTCACTTCTCTTGTTGTTTACTGCTACTGTATGCCAATCAAGCTTCACCAGCAGCAGCAGAGGTGGACAAAATCAGACCTGGAGGATTCACTCACATCAAATGAGGTCTGTCACAAACACATAGAGAGTGTGTGGCTGGAACTGTAACAACTACAGAAAATAAAAATAAAGATTGAACATTCAAATCATATTTTATAACATTGCAATCTGAAATGTATTCAATGCTTTTAAATATAATTATTTTTGATCTCTCTCCACCTGTTGTCTATTGGATTATTCAGTATAAAGGGTAAAAGAGAGGACTGTGTATTTGTCCTAAGATACTGTGTCTTGGACATATTTTATGTGCATTGTTTCTGGTCCCAAATGCAATGATTCATGTTTTTGAAGAAAAAAAGTCACAACACTTTCAGTTGAAGTTCAGATGTAGCTCATATTTCTTAAAGCGGCAGAGCAGCAGCAGTTGTTCTGCTCCCGTGTATCAACATAGAGGCGCATACAGTCCAGTGATATGTTTCATAACAGTCTGTGATCATGGAAACTCAGCCGGTGAGCTTATGTTAAAGTTCACAGGACGATGCTACATTAGCCTTCTATCTATCAGAATAAAACCTCATGGAAATGAAGTAATAAATGTGTTTTGAAATGTCTAGTGTGCTGATGAATCATGCAGGATGTTTTGGTGCCATGAGTGTATGATTACAGGGTTATAAAGGGAAACAGTCAGTGTTCATAGGGAAATAAGTGTGAGCATGGTAGGAGAGGAGTTTGCTGTAACTTGAAGTGAGGTAAGTTTATATTATTGAGAACATCTTAGTTTGGGGATATTTCAGGTTTTGAGTGCTCAGTCTGTCATGTTTTGTTCTAACACTGAAGATGATTGGATGCGTGAGGTCATTTTGAGAAGTGTATATTGTAAAGAAAAGCAGCAGTCTGAAAATAATTTCACATGTGCAGAATATATTTGAGTCAAAGTGAAAGTTTCCGTTGTGCTTTTTATGTGTGTCAGTATGTCTCTTCGGGATCCACCATACGAGCCTCCGTCTGTGTCAGAGCTGCTGGAGTTCTTGCTGGCAGACAGACGACCCACAGGACACGTCAATCAAGTCTGGCCGAATGTTTACATCGGCAATGAGTGGGTTCACTACGGTGGCCCACATCAAGGATTCACAAACACAATGCTGTTTCACAAAACATAAAATCATTTCGCAACACGGTTTCATGTTTTGTGAAATATCCTTTTGTGAAATGTGTTTTGTTGAATGCCATATTTTCTGCAAGGTTGTGTTTTGTCGACATGAATTTTGAATTTGTTAACTGTTTGTTTGAAAAGTCTGTTTTTTTAATTGTTTGGTTTTGATTTTGCAGCACTTTCTTCTACGAGTTGTTGTTTAGTAAATTGTGTTCTGAGTGTGTCTTGCTATCTAAAATGTTGGATTTGAGAACTGTTGATGTGTTTTGTGACATTTCTTTTTTTTGTGTGTTTTCTGAGTGTGTTTTGTATTTCAGGGTGGCAGCTCGTGACAATGGCACACTCCACAGTCTGGGCGTAACTCACATCGTAAATGCTGCTCATAGACCCTCTAATCACGGCCCTGGCCCCTGTTTCTATGTCAACACTGGCCCACGTTTCTACAGAGACATGAATGTGGATTATTATGGGATCGAGGCTGATGATGCAATAGGGTTCATCCTTAGTCCTTACTTCTACTCAACAGCACGATACATCAGAGCTGCCCTGGCCATGGGAGGCAAGTTTAGTGCCATCTAAAGATATCTTAGCATGTGTGTGACTGAATTTAGGACAGATTTTGCTGCAAATATGATTGTTGAGGTAAATGACCATGTTCGCACATTTTTATGAATCTCTATTCCAGGGCGGGTGTTTGTCCACTGCCTGATGGGTGTGAGCCGCTCTGCCACGTTGGTCCTGGCCTTCCTGATGATAGCTGAGGGCCTGAGGCTGCAGGAGGCGGTGGCTGCTGTCAGACCGCACAGAGACATCTGCCCCAACCCGGGCTTTCTGCAGCAGCTCCGCAGCCTCGACATGAGCCTGGAGAGGGAGCGGAGGAGGAGACAGAAAACACTGTAAAGACACACAGACACACAAATCCATAAACATTAACTTAAAAAAACACACATAAGCACATTTATTGCAACAGAGGTCAATCAACCCAGAAAGAGGAATCACCACTTCTGACAGAGCTGAGGCAAATGCTCTGGAAAAACAGAAAGCCAGTGTCCCCTGTCGATCAAGTGAGGCCAGACCTGTACATCGGAGACGAGTGAGTAGAAAAACCTCAACGAGCAGTTTGAAACGTTTGTCATTTTAAAAACCAGTTTGTACTCTGTGTGTGTTGTGTCCCTGCAGGTCTGTGGTGAGAGATAAAGCCATTGTGTCATCTCTGGGTGTGACTCACATAATGAACGCTGCAGCAGGACGACACTCGATCAATACAGGTCTGCAGTTCTACGGTGACCTCGAAGTAGACTATACCTCGGGGTTGAAGCTGCAGATCATCCAGAGTTTGACCTCCAACCTTTGCTCAAATCAATCACACGCTTCATAGGCAGGGCTCTGAAGGGTCAGTGCGCAAATATAACAGCAGACGATTCATCATGTACAACTACACAAGCACATTAAAAATATGTATTAGAGTTAAAATCAATTGCAATGTTAGAAGCAAAATAAAAAAGCTTGGTTTGGCTTCGATCAGTGTATACTTATTGAAATGTGTTTGGGGGATATAGTGGAACTCATTCATGGTTAATGTTGAAAAAGACTTGAAAAAGATTTTCTTTATCACTTATGTTCTCTTATGTATTTTTAATTCATCATATTTTCATGTTAGGTTTCTAAAGCTGTCAATTTTCTCGTAAACAAAATTAAGAATAAGCAGATTAATTTGATTAAATTTACATTATAACAAGGAATAAAATGTAATAATAATTAGAATCTGAATAACACAAAAATATAGCATTGTTCTAAATAATTTACAGTACATTAGCCCTCATATTACAGCACACATCAGATATTAAAAAACATACATTTAACACAACAAAGCCGTTAATTGAGATTACATGCTGACTCAATCAAGGGGTAAAACATACTAATCACTGCGATGGGTGTGAGTCGCTCTGGAGCGCTGGTTCTTGCGTATCTGATGATCTGCCACGGCTGTCCTAGTGGACGCCATCATCGCTGTGCGTCTGAACCGAGACATTGGACCCAACTCTGGGTTTCTGGAGCAGCTGAGGCGCTGGAGAAGAGCCTGAACCCACAGAGGAGGAGAACAACGTCCCACCACGACGTAGTGCACACCTCCCTGTAGGTCCCCCAGCACAGGTGTTCACAGATGGTTGTTTGGGTATAAATCACATTTTCTGTAATTCAAACTCAATCTGACAAAAAGAATTTAATCTGTTAAGAGAAAGCACTAAAAGTCTTATTGATTATCTCTGCGATTTGTAAAAAGAACAACTGAATATCTCCAAGGTTTATGTCTCCAGAAATAACCCTGCACTGACAAATGTGACCTGATCCCCACACCTGTCCACACATGAGTGACATTCTTACAACGGCATAAACGCAACACGACTCCTTCACTAAAAGTTTCTTTGTTAGCTTTGTTTCTCGTGACTCAGTGTGTTTTTCTTCACCATATACTCTGAAAGAAAGTGTAACAGTGACACAAGGAAGGCTATCTTATGAGGCACAGAGAAAGTGTGTGTGTGCATGTGTGTGTGTGTGTGTGTGTGTGTGTGTGTGTGTGTGTGTGTGAGAGTGTGTGACGTCGTTGAGGTCAGGTGTTGTAGCTTGGCTGCCTAAAAATATCATCTTAAACACAGAGCCTGAGAGAGCAGTTACCATTCCAGATCTGTATTTCAGTCTTCACACTTACTGCTGACACACACACACACACACACACACACGCGCGCACACACACACACACACACACACACACACACACACACACACACACACACACACACAGTTCACACATGTCCTCTGTGGAAAAGTTCAAATGCTGGTCTGCTATCCTGCTCAGCAACGGATCTAAGGCTTTAAACAGTTACAGGAAAGAGGTAGGTGATTTAAAAAAAACAAAAAGTAAATCTGTAAACAAAGAAACACTGATGAAGCTTTAAAGGTTTTTAACCAGTGATGAGTAGAAGAGACAATGGGCTGCTCAACATCATCCAGGGATATGTTAACATTTTGGAGATCCTTTGTGCTTTAAAATGAGGCAAAATAGTCTCAATTTGGCTTCGGGTATAAGTAAGAAATAAACTAAGAGAATAGTAAAAAGTCAGTTTTGCATCCAAAAAATAGCAAAGAGTGGCAAAACTTAAGTATTTATTTTTCTTCCATTTATAATTATTTCTTTTCCTTTTTTTTTCTTGATTGTTTGGGGCTTTTTGACTTTATTTTTGTCAGGACAGATAGTGTAGGAAACTGAGAGAGAGAGCAGGGAATGACATGCAGGAAAGGAGCCGCAGTCTGCCTGGAGGATCACAAGGCGGGCAGTGACCCGCCTGCTAGACCCTCCCTGTCCCTGTAAAAATAATTTAAAACACAATTAGGTTTAGTTTGCATACTGTACATATTGTATGTTTCTCTGCAAATCGGTGTTTCACATCTTATCATGCCTCACCCTTTAACTTCTGTCCACCGCTGTCCAATATTATCCTGCTGTCTTCTTCTTCTTTTTTAAATCCCACTATCAGGTTATCATGAAGTAATCATAAAGTGAGTCAATTTGGCGAGGTTGTCTTTTTCTCTTTTTTTCTCTTGTAATATCAAATATTTGGCTAAATCTGTTTAATGTCATGGACAAGAAGAAACCCAGCACCTGAGTGCTGATTAGTTTTTAATTGAGTCATCATTGCAGCTTTAAGAGCGTGTATCAAATATCTCTGAAGTGCATAATATTTCATCTACACAGCTGTAGACTCAGTTCAGAGATTTATGTTTACTTGCACATTTGTAAGACTGCATGAAATCAGATGACAAAAAATATAAAAGTTGTGTCAGGAGAGATCAAGAAGCCCCCAGGCTAATACAAGAGACTTCAGCTCTTAAGAGACAGAAACAAAACAAAAAAACAAAGCGATAAGAATTACTGTTTTGTGTGTGTATTGTGTTGGAGAGGTGAACTATGTCGTCATCCGCTGTGAAGTCCAGAAGCAAGAACCCGTACGCCGCCGTGCAGGTAGACCCCGACAGTGATTACATCACACCAGGAACATTAGACCTGGAACAGATGTTCTGGTCTGGCAGCGGGGCTCAGTATGCACATGTCGATCAGGTCTGGCCCAGGATCTACATCGGCGATGAGTGAGTGACTTAACACAAAGACAGTTCTACAGTGTGAGGCGTGATTCATGCGTGCAGCTTCATTTGATGTCTTTGTGTGAATGAACAGGAAAACAGCGCTGGAGTTTTCTGGCCTGAGGGACCTGAGCATCACTCATGTCCTTAATGCAGCCGAGGGAAAGTTTAACAACGTGCTCACCGGTGCTGAGTACTACAGTGACATGGACATTCAGTACTATGGTGTCGAGGCTGATGACAAACCCACCTTCAACATCTCTCAGTTCTTCCGCCCTGCAGCCCAGTTCATCCACGAGGCCCTCGGTCATCCAGAGAGTAAGTCCTGCAGCAAATCAAAACCTTACATTTAGATCCTTATCTGAAAAAGCGGCCTGACTGATAAATCGATCTGTACTTCGTTCTGTTGAAGACAAGGTGCTGGTGCATTGTGTGATGGGTCGCAGCAGGTCAGCGTCTCTGGTCTTGGCGTACCTGATGATGAAACAGAGCTTAACGGTGGTGGACGCTATTGAGCATGTGCGACAGCGACGCTGCATCCTGCCCAATCATGGCTTCCTGAAACAGCTCAGAGCCCTGGACATCACATTACAAGAGGAGAGGCTGAGAGAAAAGAGAGAGACCAATGGTGCACAATAGAACGCCTGCTTCAGATCATTGTACATAAAACTTTAGTTTTTCTTTTGAAATCATCTCAGGAATGATGGAACTGTTTCTCTTTAAATGTTAAATAATTAAAGTCTTTGTTTTGCACAAGTGTTTCATGTCCAAGTGAAAAGGTAAAATTGAATATGAGGTATCCTTAAGGATTAATTTAGTTCTTATATTAAAGCAATAATATGTAACTTTTCCACCTTAGAATAGTGGTGTCAAAGTCAGTCTAGTTGTACAATAACTTTCAACACAGGGTATGGCTTCCATCCCATGTCCAGAGATCGCCCCGGTCGCCTGCTTAAAGCACTTTTTAACTTTGGCAGCGGGCCGCAATTTATCGACTACTCCAGTTTACTATTTCAAAAAGTGCAAACTGATGTTTTTACTTTTACTTTTACTGCCACTTAAGCTAAACACCCCCTATTCTCAGTTTAAGCTTACACCTTTTTTAGCTACTTATTCACTCGTAGCCGATGTAGCCGATCCATTACTTTGTCTTTTTTTTACATTATCTATTTTAACTATCATCTTTCTTTTGGCTATTTGAAATGTATATTTACCCTTAAAGATAGAAAATTATTTAAACCATGTATCTCCTGTTTTACCTAAACATTTCAACCATTATCCAATTTCAGTTATCAATCGCTAACAATCCCACTATTATAGAATATAGTTTATTCCATGATGCAGGTAAATATTTAAAGCACTACAGAAAACTTTTTCAACTATTTATCGACACTTCATTGTTGCACTTTTTCCCCAACTGCTTATAGCTCGCTGTTTAAAGCATTTATCAATTAAGACTATATTATCTGTTTACTAACCTTACCTTTTCAATCTTTAAACATTATCCATCACTATATCTATCACACACTTTTCATCCAAAGCAAATTATTTCACTTTAGATATTATTTTAACGATTTATCCATTTCTGAGGCAAATTTCCACTTTAGCTGAGCATTTTAAAATGTTTTCCTTTTCCTGGGAGAAGAAATTCAGATTTATATTCTTTTTAACCTTTTTCTTTTACAGGGTGAATTCAACATGAACACAAACTGTAGATCTGACTATTAGATCAACATTTGAATGTATTAAAGAAAAGCATCTTAAAATGAAACAGTAAAGTAAAAAAAAAAAGGATGAACAATAGGATTCACCTTGAATGCTTTATTTCTGAGTGCACACTGCAGTAAAGCACAGAAATGGGAAACTTGAGACCCATTCAGACCTTTGATAAACATAAGGCTTTTTGGTGTTTCTTAACACACAGTCAACACAGGGACATACATCGTTACTGTAATGCCTGAACAGCTCTGCTAGTTTTCACAAAAATGCAGACTTCATGCAGACAATGAAACATTTAGAGGTGTACGTTTGATCTGTTTTCAAATGTTAAATACTGTCGATCACAGAATAACACTAAATCAGGTATTCTAATGATTTTAAATGTTTGGTAAATGTCCTGAACCTAAATTCAGCTCATACTGTTATAAAATGTCACTGAAATGAGAGAAAAATATTACTCATTCTCAATTAATTTTGAAGGGGGGGGACGGTGGTCGAGTTTGGTTAAATCAAAATCATCTAAAAAAAACCCAGAAAGGTCAGTTTAAAAGCCTACAGTATGACTCGACCAAAGAACACTCAAATATAAAGATAGTTTCCAAACGATACCAGTCGCCTTACATGCATTCAGAAATGTTGTGCGTCTATTTTTCTCCACAAGCCTCAAGACTCATACTGGTCTAATGTGTAAGTTTCCCTGAATAATCAAAAGTGGGTTCAGAAGACATCTGTAAGCCCCTTACAACTTTGAAACACAGAGAGAAAAAAATGGAAAAGGCACTCATTCCTAGAAGCCCCTTCCCCAAAAGCTGCATAAGGATAAAGCAAACCATGGTGAGTTGGAAGGTGACTTCTACATGTCTTTGACACAGCTGACGGTTAACAGTGATCGTAGGACGTAGTGGGCGGAGACTTTGACATATTTCAGTGTGTGCATAAACGAGAAACATTTGGTTTCATAACTGGCCAGTTAAAATCAAAACAGTCTAAAGTCAATTATAATTACAAAAAGAAAAGAAATCACAACTGCACATTTTAATGCAGCATCAAAGACATTCTTAGAGAGTGTTTTTCTCTTTTTTTACTCCTCATATGTAGAGTCCTTGTTATGTAGAGTGAGCTGTTAAGGAAATGACAGACTCTTACAGTAGGGTGTCAGTATGATTGTGTGACCGTGTCATTGTACTGGACTGGCAGTGTCGGAGCCAAAAAAGGCCTGTGGCTCTGCATGATCCTCTAGTGGCCCCTAGTGGAGCTCATAGAGACATGCAGACACATCAGGGGTCAAACAAAAGGTGAATGAATAAAATACAAAAATAATGATTTGGACTTGGACGGTTGGCTGAAAAAAAAAAAGGGGAGCTTTGAAATAAAAGAGGTTTCAAGCCAAAGGTAAGGTTGTCCGGGGGGGATTCTCATTTGAAGTCAGGTTTTTCTGGGAAGGTGCATCCAGCTCTTCTAATGATGACGTTAGCGGAGTAGTGCGCCGCCTTCACACACTGATCCAGTGGTTTGTCCTGGACCAGCTCAGACAGGAAACCTGCACAGAAGATCAACAACAAATAAACAAAGAAAAGCAACCTTTGTTGTGCAGTGTAGGGAATGAAAACATAAAAAAGCCCTTACCTCCTACAAAGGCATCCCCTGCACCGTTTGTGTCCACTATGTCTTTGGGGGCGATTTTCAGTACAGGGAATGTCTCAATTTTGTCGCCTAAAACACGAGAAGGAAAAGTAGTTTTTTAAGGGCACGTCTGACAAAGGAAAGGAGACACAAAGGAGTAACATAAGAGGGGAAAAAAAGAGAGAGACTCTAATCTTACTTTTGGCCATAACGGTTTCATGCTTCCCCTGGGTCAACACAACAACCCGCTGTCTCTTTGTGTTGACTTTGGGCAAAGCCTGAGCTTTCTTTGCAATTTCCTCTATGTCCTCAGTCTACAGACAGAATACACAGAAACACAATCTGTTAATAAGACACACATTATGTAACACTTATCATGTGCAAATACTGAATGAGACTGTCAGTGCATTTACCTCGAAGTCTTGCTCTTTGGCAAATGTAGCTGCCTCCTGAGGAACGAGAAAGAAACAATCTTGTCTTACTCACAAACACGAGATCAACTATCAATATCTGGCATCTGTAGAGTATCTTAGAGCCTTGGTTCTCAACCGGTGGGTGAGGGACTAAAAGGGGGTCCGGGATGCGTGCCAGGAATAATAAAAAAAAAAAAAAACGTGTAGCAAAAAGTATATGCTGTGCTTTTATTTTAAAGGATACTAATCACATTCATATGCAGCGGATGAAGCAGGGGGAGTAACTCTGAGTTAAGTGTCTCACCAAAGGACACATTAGACATGTACGGTAGCTGCAGGAGCTGGGGATCGAACCCTCGACCATTTGAGAGACGAGTGATTCTACCACTGAGCCACAGGACGTCAAGGATATGTGCCTGTAGTAAATAGTCTATGCTATGCTTTAATACTAAAGGGTGTGTTTCTAATAAAACTGCACGTACAGAGGGCAAGTTTATTAATTCTAGCACAGTAGATGGCGGAAATGCACCTCAAGCCTGGTTGCTACTGCTAATAAACAACGACAGAAGAAGAAGGGGACAGAAAAGGGACAAAAAACCTCAGCGCTGTAGGCTCATAAAAGTGTGAAGCCATCAAAAATTCACCCTGTTTCACTAAAACTATTTGAGTGGTTGAACATTTTCGTCGCAATTTGTCATGAAAGAGTTGCAGAGGGTCCTGCAGCTAGCCCAGTCGAGAACCACTGGTCTAGAGGATGACCTGTGAACGTCTGGCTTACTGTCTCGTTGCCGAAAAGCACGTCCACGTAGGGCATAACCTGCATGAGGTTATCCTTGAAGAACTGGCTGATAAAGGGCGCCGACAGGTTCAGGCAGAACAGCTTGTTATTTTCAGACGCGTGCTTTGCCACCTTCAGGATGGACTCCACAGAGACGGTCAAGAAGAAACCCTGGAAGCAAACGGTGACATTGGGTCAACACTGATCTGCTTTTTATATCTTGATGGGCTCTAATGAATCACATGCAGTCAGGGCTATTACACACAGAAACCCCACGAGTACAATGGTGGTGTGACAGTACATGAGTTGACCTCAATATCAGAAGTGAATAGCACAACAAACCATTTTGTCATTTTTTTTACTTACAGCAATATAGTAGACTTTAGCTTTTTCCACCAGCTCCCAGTTTTCTTCCAGGTCTAGATGCTTTTCCTTCTTATAACAGTTAGCGGCAGCGAGGTTTGCTACCAAAGACCTGAGGGGATGAAGCAAAAGAAGAAGATTAAAGACTTCTAGATGGATAATGACACCTTTTTAAGAAAAACAATATTAGAACAATAACGCACCTGTTATCTCCGGTGATGCATGCAGCACATGTCCCTGTGGGCTCCTCATCCTGCTCGTAGTAGTGGGCGTCGATGTGGCCCTCCTCAGCCTTCTCTTTCAGGATTTCTCCAAACTTGTCTTTGCCAATGCAGCCAAAGAACGTGCCCACGTTATGGGGCTCTTGGATCATCCACTACAGACGGTGACAACAGCTCCGATTAGTAGATTTATACACGTTAAGAGTACAATTAACCCTTAAAAACTTAACGGAATATTGACGTATGTGACAGAACAGAAAGTCTGTGTGTGAATGACTGACCTGTGCAACCTTTATAGAGTTCTGTGTGGCGCCTCCTGCATGGTACTCGACTTTAAACTTCTTCACTATCTCCTCGAATCTAGAAAAAGACACACAACAACATTTTAAGTCACACATTTTTAGATTACCAAACAAGACTCAGTCTCATTCAAAATGTTTGCTCACTTCTGCAAAATTGAGACCGACAAGATATTTTTTGGGGCGCTAACTTCAAATATGACAATGCACCACCACTCAACTGTGTCAATTATCATTAATTACTGAACACAAAAGGTTTTTTACTAACCAAACTGTGGCTTTAGATTGTTAAATTACAACATTTTATGTATTTATTTCCTTGGTGAGATCTAATGAGAAGGAAATTTAAAATATAATATGCTAAATGGACTTGAGCTTGTGTAGTTCTTTTCTTGTCTCCTGACTACTCAAAGCGCCTTCACACCACAGGTCACTCCTACACATTCACTGCATTTCACACACTGATGGCAGAGGTCGCTCTGTAAAGTATCCATCAGTATTATCTTATCACATTAATACGCAGCCAACAAAGCAGAGGGATCAACTTGGGGTCAAGTCTCTCGCCCAAGGACACATCGGACATGTGGCTGCAGGAGCTGGGGGATCAAACCCTCCGACCTTCAGGTTGAGAGACGTTCTCTGACACTGAGTCACAGCCGCCCCAATAGTGCAGGTGGATGCTCTTAACTTTTGGACTAAGCCAGATTAGCTACTCCCCTGTTTATACCAAGTTAAGTGCTGCAGCTCCTCCCTGTAGCTTTACATTAAGTGGACAAGAATGAAAGAGGCGACACATTGTCTCAGCTAGAAGAGTAAAAATCTTGAAGGTTTATTTTTATTTAAATAAATAAAAACATGTGGAAAAAAAACATGAACATTTTTAATCTGGAGCTGCACGATCTATGCTAATGTCCCCCCCAAATGAACTCAGGTAAAAGGCTCATAAGCCCATCTGGTCCTGCACTGTCCATCTACAGAGAAGCCATATTTCTTCCATGTGTAACATACATGCACACTCATGGCTGGTTATTCTATTTGAACCATTTACGCCTGTTACACAACACAATGGCAGAAGCAGCGCTTTGATAGTCTGCCTCAGGCCAAAGCATCTGTAATTCTCCATGTTGTGTAGTCTAAATATAGACATATCTTCCTCCACTCTGACATGTGTTTGTGCGGTTTCATGCGCGTGTTAAGAGACGCCATGTTCAAATATGTCCTTGGAAAGTGTAACAGGGCTGACTGCTGCTAAAGGTCCTGAGACTGAGCCAGAGGTTGCAGAGGGGGAGACATCTGGGAGATAGAGGTTGGAAAATGGAACCGACTATTGTAGGAACTTTAAAGTATAGTTTGCGGTCTCTGATGTGTCTCTTATGAGTTTGATTCAGGGGGAAACCTTTAATGTATTTGTATTCAACAACAGAGCACAGAAACAAGAAAGACCAAAGTGGCTCCACTACAAGAAGTAACATTTAAAAAGTGATACCTGTGTAGAACCTTAGACAATGACAACTCTATAGGCTAACTATGTGAGTACCAATCTCCTTTTGGATTTCAGCTCTTTCTGAAGAAAAACAATTGTATTTATTGGCGCTGTTTTGCTTATTTTAGTTTATAAATCTGGCTGATTCACATCCATTTATCCTCGTGTAAATATGTGTCTTACAGTATAACACTGTCAGTAGATGTTAGAATAACAATCCAGATCAGTGTCGAGTTAGAACCCTTCAGTACAGCTCTCTTTCACACACACACACACACACACACACACACACACACACACACAGACACACACGACTTTCTTATCGCCTGCTGTGAAATGTTTGCTTTCTGGCTCTCGTCTCACAGGGACTGGGAGGTGAAGTGTCCTGGTTTTCTATTGGCCGAGGCCGGCTCTCTGAGCTGAATCTGCTGCAGTGCCATTGGCCGTCTTTAAAGGAACGGAGGTCAATTGTCCTTATTTCTGGTGTGCGCCTGTTTGGTCTGTCCCACTCCGGAACAGGGAGGACTAAGCTTGGTGTGAATTCAGACGTATTCATTTCTGCATGCACAGACTACAAAGCCCTGTTAGCGGTAGACGAGTGAGAGCTCAAACACAGACTTTACTCCAGAGAAGATGTTGCAATGTAAGAGATAGAGTACGTACAGTGCTTTGTGTTTGTCTTCTGCCAGGATCTGGTCGTTTGGTTTCAGAGAGTATCTGCAAATAATTAAAGGAGAAGGAGGAGGGATCAGTTTTGCAGAGCGGTTGGAAACAGATGCAAATTAAAAACCAAACAGTTTTTAACCTGAGGGAAAAATGCTTTTCAATAAACTAACTCCACAATTTTGTGTCTGAAATCTGTTTCATGTGGAATAGAAGACACAATGCTTGTGCTTTAAAAATGTGTTGTTCACTTCCTTTGAAAATGTGATTAATAAAACATTAAAGTATTCAATCATAGCCGGAGGTTTTGAGCGACCAACTCAGAGTCCAAATCGATATGTCGGTTCCAAAATGCAAATCACAAAGTACACAAAAAAAAAGACAAAGATAGATTGTGGATTATGATGCAGTTTCAGCCCTGCTTCAGTCAATGAGAAAACTGAGGCCGGCTGGTTTTGCTCTAATCCACAAGTTTACGCAAGGGGTCAGAGGGTGGACTCTGAGCTGGTCAGTCAGTGTGACGGAGCAAGGACAGTCCAGAAAACTGCTCCTCATACTGAGCAGGTTTCCACTGACGGCTGGCACTATTTCAATACATTTGAAACATTCTTAATACTTAATTATTACAGATCAGGTAAGGTCATTATCTGAGGGAGCCTCATTAATTTAACTTCAGCTCATAGGAGAACTTGAGTCACATCTTTTGTGCTCAGCTGTCAACCTGATGTGAACACGATAAAGACAAAAAGAAGAGGTTCTTATTCTTTGTTTGGCAATGTAAAGAAGTAGAGATGTACTGTCCCCTGTGCTGTGCTGTTCTCTCTCTTATCATCACTGACCACTAACATCAGAGAACCTCTCTCTGTATGGTCAGACCACCACACGAGTGACCGCACTAAAAGAAACAAGATCTATTTTCATTATAACTGATTTTCACACTAATCTTAAAGATTCAGCAAAAAGATAGAATTAGGCTCCACGGTACACCCTTCACAAAACAGTTTATTTCACTTTTCTTTGCTTTTAAATTCTTGGGATAAAGTACAATTTTCAGGTCCAAAAAGCTGTAGTCCTCAAAGCATGCGGCCAGGGTTCAAGTCCGACCAGCGGCTTCTTTCTCGCTCCTTGATTTCCTACACTATCCACTGTCCTTTCAAACGAAGGAATAAAAAGCCCACAAAAAACAAATCTTAGAAAAAAAAAAGAAGTTAATCCCTGTCTGTATTTTTCAGATTAATTTTGACTCTGAATCAAGTGCTACACACACACACATCTCGAGCAGTGAGGACTACTGCCGCTCATAGGATCAACAGAAATCATAACGGGCTTTTGTCCTCTAACTTACTTATCCAAGAAGTCTTTGTCCACTACAGCAGAAATGTCCAGTAAGGGGTTTCCCATGCCAAAGAGTGAATTAGGGCTGAAACAGAAACATAAAGTGTTATTATAAAAACATACACAAAAAACTCAACAGTAAAAATGAGACCGCTTTGTAGAATCTATTTAGTGTATGTATTTGACTCAGTTAGCTTAAGACTGCCTGGTTGTTTTCATTCAGCGTAATGTAAAAACAGACACATTTCACGGACTTCATGTTTGTCCACTCAACGTGTGCTCAGTGAGTTCACCACCACATTGAATAACCCACATTTCTGTTTCCATGTGACTTCAATCACATGATTTCAAAGCTCAAATTCTTACAGAAAGAAAAGCAGAAGTAGCTCATGAACACACATGACTCATCAACAATCAATAAAAAAAAAGGAGAACATGAATATTCTCTGAGGTGAGGACCCGGTCGGTCATTCATGTAAACCGTGTTTTGGACGTTGACAGCGAGGCAACATCAGGGCAGCCGCGCCGCTGAATGTGAGCCTCTTTGTGTGCAGTCTGTTCATTCCTGAGGCAAAAATAAAAACCCTGAATAAATCATAAGTCTTGTGATGCTTGTGATTTTAAAGCAGCGACGTGAGACAGCAGCAACAAGACGCCTCTGTCTGAGCTGTGTGTCAATGCAAAACATCCCTGCTGGATTTTGTTTTGAAAAACACAGTGACCAATTATCTTAAGTGAGTTAGTCTGCAATGTTGGCTTCAGTAGGAGCAAATACAGCTAAGATTGTGTCAGCAGGCAAAGAACACGTGTACTAGGATGTGTTTTTACACGTCCTGCCTTCATGCATGTTTTTTCATGTCATGGCTGTGTTGTTCTGAGTAAACCCCCAGAAGGAGCAAGTCTCTAACTATGTCTTCGGGACATATGCCACCTCTCAACATGAACACATCTAAACACATGTTTTCCAATTCATCCTTTTTTTTTTTTCCCCCCCACCATCCTCCGAAGACTTTAATGTAACAAGATGCAGCAAGACAGATTTATTTCTAAGACGATGACTTGGTCGACACTGTCTTGTGCTACACAGATGGGTTCTTGTCATTTAAAGAATCAAGCAGATGCCCCACCCTTACTATCATTCCCTACATCTGCCAATATGCAGTCACAAGATTACAGAGCTTGTGCAGCCCAATTACACTACACCAGAGCCCATGTCTGCCTTTCTTCTCTCCATGTCTACGCACTCTTACCTTGCTGAAGACATGGTGTCCCTTTCTCTGTGTGCACCGGCTAGATACTGACAGACCTGTTGAGCAACCTAAAACCGGCTCAGAAAGAGCTAAAGCATTCAAAAACTTCACATTTCAGCCCTCTGTGCGGGTAGATCGATGTTCCCTGCAGCCTACAGCTCCTCCTACTCCTGACTGACTGATTGGAGGCAACCGAGGGAGGAAGAGCCACGGTCTGTTTCTGTCTGTTGATTGGCTTGTTTTGCAGACTCCAGCCTCAATCCACTCTCACTCTCTTGAGAAGATTAATTTACATCGTGAGAAGCGTGCTGATGATAGTGGCTGCAGCAGAGATGCCCCCATTATGAGAGTGCTGCACCTCACCAAGGATGCAGAGAAAAAAGCATTTAAACACAACATTTACAAGAGCAAGTGGTTTGTTCTTTAACAGTTCTTTTCCACAGGAGGTTGTACAAGAAGGAACCGAGCTTTCTCTAAAGTTGGCACTGAATGGACACAGTGTTCAGATCTGCAGGTGGTGGTCGCGCTTAACTCCGCATTCACCTGGTGTCGGAACATTTGGTTTCTCGACTTTGGGAAAAAAATAATAATAATAAAATAAAATAGAAATCACATGATGTCTCCCACAAGTCAGAATAACACCTGAGAAAGTCAGATAAAATGTTGTAAGGCTACCTGTCAGAATATTTGGCGATAAATCATGGAGGACTTCAGTTTACAGTTTTTTTTTTATTTTTTATTTTTTAAATCTATTTACAAACTGCAAATTTATGAGTTGTCACTTTTAATTGCCAATTAGTAAAATAATTGTACAATTGGGTATTTTAATTGTGATTACGACGTAATTTAAAGCTCGTAAACTTCCCGAGGTTGGAAAAAAAGATTCGTCAACTTGGAAGTTCGATCTTCCGAAGCGCACCTGAACGCAGCACGGTATAAAATGCTGGCAGAGTGGCTGCAGTTAAAAGTTAAAGGGCGTGATTATTTACAATCACGCCCTGGCTTGCATTACTACTATCAGCTGACCTATAACATGATGCAGCTGCAAGATAAAGTGTGAACCGTATCAGAGGACTTTAAACCGACATAAACAGCGACCTTTAAGGTGGTTGCTTCCTGCACACATTTGATTTAACAAAACTTCAACATTTCATCAACTATGCATTCAGTTGACACATTCATAAGTAACGTCGTGCTGATTTAAGTGTAAAAGTGCAAATGTGGCATGCATAAACATTCACACACAGTCAGAGGAGGGTCGTCTCTCCTCGTCCTCTAGAAACGTGTTTCAGGTATGTTTCGGGTCACCTCAGTTTGTCGGGAGTCTTCTTGGCTGGAGACTCATCTTTCTCCTTCTCCTTCTCCTTCTCTTCTCTGAAACCTTTTGTTTCTTTGCTTTGGGTTCTCCAGAAGCCATTGTTGACGGGGTACGTTGCTTCACCTTAACCCGGCGTGGAAAAAGAAACGCGGTGCTGTTGTCTAACGGTGCGGAACTAAGAGTGTGTGCCCTGAGTGCTGCCTCGCAGGCATCTGTTGCTGCCTCCCCCCCTCTGGCTGTGAAACTGTAAACTGTAAACTAGTCAGTTCAATTCAAAAACACTTTATTTGTCCCCGGGGGGCAATTCAAAGGCACACAGAGCAGTAAATTAACAACAGTGTGTTAAAAAGTAGACGAAACATATTAACCTAAATATAAAGTGTCAATTTAAATACAACTTAAATCTTAATCTTAACTTAAAAATACAAAATATAAAGGAGTAGAGTGCAGTAGTGACCAGATGTAAACAGAATTATGTGCAGTAAGCGAGAACTAAATATATATATAGACAGAGCTATGTGCAGTTGGCTAAATACTAAATGATAAGTTATTAAGGTGCATGATGAATAATGGAACTACAGAACTAAAATAAACAATATAACTGTAAAGGTAAAAATGAGATAAATAAAGTGACCGTAGTGCAATGACACTCTCTCCATTTTCAAATCTCATCTCAAAACACATCTTTTTAAACTTTCATATTCAGTCTGATCATTCTCCACCCGTTCTCATAACTCCTTTACATCCTGTACATTTGTGTTTTTTTAATGTTAATTTTATCGTTGTGTTGTTACTTTGTTGTTTTTATCTCTGCTTTGTAAGGTGATCTTGAGAGTTTTGAAAGGCGCCTTTAAATAAAATGTATTATTATTATTATTATTATTATGATGGATAAGAAACATCAGGAATAAAGTAACCAGAACTGTATGAATACTGAAATAGAAAGGATAGAATAAAGTGATGTAGTGCATGAGAGCAGATCAAGCAGAGGTAGTTGAGGTGCATTGACAAGTGGAAGGAAGGAATATGATAACAATATCATGTTGTTATAGTCTGTGTGAGCCAAGTTATATTAGTTGTAGATCTGCATCAGTTTTTACTGCACAGTAAGAGACATTAGAAGAGCATGGATTTTTATATATCTCAGTAAATTGGCCAATCTTTTCCATACATTGTAGATATTTAAAGCATAAAACAAAATAACACATAAACTGAACAAAAACACAGAATAACACAGACAGGATAGATGAAAAGTACAAAATGGTAAGATGCCAGAGCATTACTTTAAACATATTAAAGACATACATTCAATAAAGTAAAGTTGACAATAAACAATTTAATCGCTTTTATGTTAGTGCTTTGTGAAATTGTAGAAATATACATTTTAATTTATTTAATTAAAGCAGGGAAAAGGAAGCGTTTGTAACAATTTCAACTTATTGATGTAAAATTTGCACAAAAAAAAGCAGAATAAGATTGATTGAGAAAAAAAATGCATTTTCAATTTTAATAGAAAACTTATTACAGACTTTAGAACAAATAAAATTAGTATAATTCTTCTAAGAATATCTGTACAGTAGACAATAAATGTGTGATAGTCTCAGGGTGCTCAGTCAGGGTTTATTGTTCTTACAGATTTCTTCATGTACTGATTCGGGGGGTAAATTCTCTGAAATCATTTAAAGGAAAACCTCTCTAATTTTGTTGTTAATAAAAAATGTGTGAGGTAACATCCAAAACTTTTTCCGAACACCTGAAAGTTGTACTCAGGGCATCAAAACCCCAATCAGTCACCACTGAAGACCCGCGTCTTAGCTGCCCGCAGATGCTGCCTGATTAAAAAAAAACTCTGAAACTTTGCCCTGAAAGTATCGACCAGGCGAAGACTTCGCTGGACGTTTTTTTTTGGTCATTCGGCATAAATCAAAGCACTCTACGAACAGTATTCAGGCCTTCTTTGTTTGTTTTTTTCGCCATGTTCTTGTGACTTGGTTGTGTTTACGTGTGCACAGATCTGCAGGCGTCTCCTCCTCTGCACACCAGCTGCACACCAGCCTGCCATATTGACACCGAGTCATCATTCTTGACACAGACCGACTGGATTTAGCAGGTAAAACTTTGAAACATCTGTCAAACTTTGACTTCTTTGTTTTGCTATAGTTTCGCCTCTTGCACTGAAGTTTATTTTTGATTGTTTGTGCACAGATTAAGAAAGTTAAAATGACAATCTTTGTTAATCAGACGGTGAATTTACCTGCAGAGTTTGGAGGAAGTTGAACAGATTGACAGAGGATTATTGCTGGCAAAAGGAGAACACTGCTAAAAATCCATATTATGTTGTTTTATTTTGGGTAATGTAATATTTAATCTGTTCTTTTTTTTTGATTTCATCTCCCTATCAGTCTCAGAAACACAGACTAACAACAACAACAACAACAACAAGCAGCTCATTGTTGCAGCTGAGATGATCCACAGTCTGTTCCTCATTAATCACACGGGAGACATCATCCTGGAGAAACACTGGAAGAGTGTCATCGGCCGCAGTGTGTGTGATTACTTTTTTGAGGCCAAGGAGAAGGCGGTGGACCCGGAGGATGTGCCCCCCGTCCTGCAGACCCCACACCACTATCTCATATCCATATACAAGGGCAAGCTCTTCTTCCTGTCCGTCATCCAGACTGAAGTGCCTCCACTGTTTGTCATTGAGTTCCTGCACAGAGTGGCAGACACAATCCAGGTGGGATCACAATCTGTGCTCAGATGTCTGGACAGGAGACACAACATACAAAAACAGACTTCTCATTTCTTATAAGACTTCTTTTGATTTCCATCCACAAGTTAGAAATACTCATTTGGCATGCTTATTTAGTAGTTTGCGAGCTTGAAAAACCTGTCTCATGTTTTTACAAATTAGTTGAAATAGAGGAACAGATCCTTGTGTGTCCTCAGTAAACCTTGGCTCGGTGATTTCCAGCTGCTTGCTGTTTTTATTGTGCCGTGTACTTTTTATTACCCAGGATGTCTTTAACCAGTGAGGGTCAACAGTAACTGCGCCTTAACGTTGTACTCCATATTAGGGCTGGGCGATGTGACCCAAAAAATCATATGTAGGTATATTTTTTAGCTGAATGCTGACACACGATATATATATCTGGATATTTTGTCTGTAAAGAAATAACAAAAACAAAGTCAGTCAAATCCACATGAGCCTAAAGCCTAATGTCAGACAGGCACTTATATGTACTTATATATATACTTATATGTCAACATGACCATAGACAATAAATTAAAACAAACTACCTGTTTTTGAATTTATTTAAAAAAAAAAAGCTAATTTCATGCATAACAAACACACAGCTGTGTTTTTTTGAGTTTCGCTCAGAGAGAGGTGGATCAGGGTGAAGAGGGACAGACGCTGATGCAATGCAATACAAACTACATCGCTGTAAACAATATTGTCTTACCTATATCTCGTTTTAAAATGTGTCGATATATCTTAAAAATCGATGAATCGCCCAGCACTACTCCATAGTGGCAGTGTCGTGTTTTCACACTGAAAAAATGGCAAAAATAAGAAGCTTAAAAAAGCATTTAAAATGGTTTATTTTTGACTATGCTGTCATTTCAAAGTACTCACCCGTAGTGCATTTCACAAAGGAGATATAGGCGCTACTTAGCAACCACAACATGTTAACACAGATAGCAGTCGGTGTCACTGTGTGAAGTGAAGTTGCTGCTTTATAGACATTTCTGGGTCCATGTTTTGCATTATTTACTTTGACTACAGTGGTAGATTTTATAGATTTTATAGATTTTGTTGTTTTTCCCGACAGGACTACTTCGGAGAGTGCTCAGAGGGTGTGATCAAGGATAACGTGGTGACCGTGTACGAGCTCCTGGAGGAGATGCTGGACAACGGCTTCCCACTAGCAACAGAGTCCAACGTCCTGAAAGAGATGATCAGGCCTCCCACCATCCTGCGATCGGTCGTCAACACTCTCACAGGTAAACTGAGGTTAAAGGACAATCTGAGCTGTACCACTCTCTGTCTACTCCTCCCTGACAAAGACAAATTCTGTACATGTTTATTTGTTTTTTTTTCATGTTTTCCAGGAAGCAGTAACGTTGGAGATACGCTGCCAACAGGTCAATTGTCCAACGTACCGTGGAGGCGGGCTGGTGTGAAATACACCAATAACGAGGCGTACTTTGACGTGATAGAGGAAATAGATGCCATTCTGGACAAAACAGGTACAAAAGACTACTTGTTTGAGCACTGCAGAGGAAGATTTGTTTACCTACAGTAGTAGTAGAGTTGTAGTTTTTTTCTGAGATTATATCTTGACTCTTTAATAACAACCTTGCCTCAATCTTTCTCATGTAGGTACGCCAGTATTCGCAGAGATCCAGGGTGTGATTGAAGCTTGTGTGAGGCTCACTGGGATGCCCGACCTCACTCTGTCCTTCATGGTGAGTTATTTTCCTCCTGGTGCATGTTTGTCTTTCTTTATGTTCTTCTGTCGTTTCTTTTGCGTCTTAGCGTCTATCTAAACCAAACTTGCTGTAGTCGTTGATTCTTTTTTCATTTTTCTTTTGACAACAGAATCCTCGTCTCCTCGACGACGTGAGTTTCCACCCCTGTGTTCGGTTTAAGCGCTGGGAGTCAGAGCACGTCCTCTCCTTCATCCCGCCGGACGGAAACTTCACACTCATGAACTATCATGTCAGCTCTCAAAAGTAAGCACAGGCACAGCTTCTATGCTTTATTGTATAATTGTGTAAAAAAAAAAAAGAAACCTTGGTTACAGCTTATCCTCATTTTATGTGATGCTGTGCAAGAATTTGAAAAACTTTCCATCTTAATAAATCTTAAGCTTTCAACAGGAATGACCTGTAGATGAATTTGATGACACACAAAAAAAACAGTAACATCCTTGTCCCACTGTTCTCTGTGGGTTTTAGTGAGGATAAGGGAATTCTGCAATTAGGATTCACAATCCACACTTGTCACTTCGGTAACTGGTTTCTGTGTGTTCGCTGCATCGCTCTGTTTATTGTGTTTCCATCCTCAGTCTCGTGGCCATCCAGTGTACGTAAAGCAGAGCATCAGCTTCTTTGAGACGGGACCTTCTGGTCGCCTGGACATCACCATCGGACCCAAGCAGACGATGGGGAAGACGGTGGAGAGCCTGAAGGTCACTATCCACATG